TTCGTCTCCACTTTCTGCATTAATCTGTACCCCCCCCCCCCCCCAACCGTTCCGCTCCCTCTTTGCCTCCTGCTCTGGGCTCCTGTCTCTTCTTGCAGCCTTTCTACTCCTAATCCTTGAATCCTTATTACTGCTGTCTTTCAGCCACACCTGATTTTAAGGTATGTAAGAGGTAACACCTTGCCTTCTCGGATAAGGGCGAAATATCTCGTGTGTGGGTTGCGAAGTTAAAGATCCCTTGGTGGTCCTAAAATCGAAAAAAGTAGGCTTCGGCCATGACCAGGGAAATGATTAAAAATGAATTCCTGCCAAACTGAAAATGTTTTATGTGTCCATCGCTCTACTAATGTATGAACCTATTCAGAGTTGTGGGCGCCGTAAACTGCACTCCAATTCAAAACAAAACAACAAAGATACCTGTTACGTACTCCACAGCTGTGTTTCCGGGGCAACATGAAGTATGTGATGTTCCCGATGCTCATGGCTACCAGCCTGGGTCTGTTCCTGGCCTTCAGTAGAGCTGTTTCCTCCACACACGGACTTAACAATGGTAACTCTTTCTGTCTGTCTGTCTGTCTGTCTGTCTGTCTGTCTGTCTGTCTGTCTGTCTGTCTGTCTGATCCTCTGATCCTCTCTCTAAAATTATCTCTCTCTCTGTCACTCTCTCTCTCTCTCTCTCTCTCTCTCTCTCTCTCTCTCTCTCTCTCTCTCTCTCTCTCTCTCTCTCTCTCTCTCTCTCCTCAAAAATATTGTTCTTCTCAGAATTTTTGTTTGAAAGGTGGATGGTACATTGGTGTCCCTCCCTCCCACCCCCCACCCCCCCAACCCCGAAAAAAAAATTACTTTAAAAAAAGATGTAGGTTTATAAATACTCTGAAGACTTCTCTGAAATGTTGCTTTATTGGTGTGGTTGAGGGAAGAGTCTTTATTTTGACCGTAAATCCGTGACATGTGGCAGAAAGGAATTTTGAGAGAAAATATAGTTTTTAAAGCAGATGCAGCCAGAGAAGCGAGAGGAACAAAACAGTCAAATCTTGGCATTGAGACTGGCCCAACAGATCACAAATGCTCTCTGTCTGTGAAAAATGTTTCGGAAAAAAAAGAATGACGTTTGAAATCATCGGAAAGTTTAACCAACTAACCATCATATATTTAGGCATATAAGCAAGCATTATGTGAAGCGTGCTGACAAAAATGAGTTACTTCTCGGATCCAAGACTCATGTATATAGATACATCACGTTATTAGTAGGTGAAGTTTTTACAATTTATAGGTATGGAATAATAAAAGGCACGTAATAATAGAAAAAGAATGTGGCATCAATAGAAAATGCTACAAATCTGACCCTATAGTGTGGATTTTTGGCCAATATTTCCGTTTGTGGATTGCGAGAAGTACCTCATTTTTCCAGCACGCTTCACAATTTATTATCAAAGAAATAACGCTGCTATCTTCGACGATCGTTACCTTTCAATTACAAAGTTCTATCTGACATTTTGTACCATTTTAAGTTACTAGAACCATGAAGTAAGAAACCAAATATTCTATCTGCTCTATCAAAAGTGTAAGATTATTCGGAGTAGTTATCAAAATATTTAAAGGATTCCTTTCGAAAAAGCTTGACATTTTTGTAAAATATAAACTTTTTAACTCCAAATTTCTCAAAACTATGAACTGAGCAGATTGAACATTGTAATTGTTAAACTTTGCCTGCTCTTATTTATTTTACTTTACTCTCTTTAGAACGCTATTATTATTATTATTATTATTATTATTATTATTATTATTATTATTATTATTATTATTATTATTATTATTATCATTATTATTATTACTATTATTGTTATTATTAATATTATTATTATTGTTATTATTATTATACCATTGATATTATCATTGATATTATCATAGTAGTAGTAGTAGTAGTAGTAGTAGTAGTAGTAGTAGTAGTAGTAGTAGTAGTAGTAGTAGTAGTAGTAGTAGTAGTAGTAGTAGTATGCAATTATGATTATTATGATAGTTGATGTGATTATGATTTCTATTGTCATTTGTATTATAATTGTGATTATCAGTTTTATTATTATTATTAGTTTTATTATTATTATTTTTGTTATTATTATTATTATTATTATATTATTATTATTATTATTATTATTATTATTATTATTATTATTATTATTGTTGTTGTTATTATTATTATTATTGTTGTCATTATCATTATTTTTATCATTATTATTATAAA